AAGATCTTTTACTGAATTGTCTGAAATATTTTCTTCAGGTATACTGCTTTCAACTGTGATTTTTTTTGAAATAGGATTGAAAAATGAACTAATTTTTGAAGAAGGACGTTTTTTATCAGTAGTTGAGGCCTACGAAATTAAAGAAAATGTAATAGTTTTAAAATCATCTTATGATGACAATATGAAGTAAAAAATGTCGGTCGTATAAATAAAATATGTAGTAAATTTATTAAAATATTAAAAAGGACGAAATATTACATATTATTTTTTTTATTTCATGTTATTTAAACGACATTTTGAGTATTGTACAAAATATAATGTACAAAATATGGTTTTTAATTCAAATAATCAAATCAGTGGCAGTGTATTAAAATTCAAAATACAGATTACTTACCATTTTTAAACACGCTCGTTTTCTCGCAGTGCGTTGAACGCTGTCCGCATCCCGTAGAAAAATGATAATGTTATATAATATTCAATATTGTAGCAATAGAATTAATGGTAAAAGTAATATCTGCGATTCTGACGATAACGTGAACGGTCACGGCATCGTTAGCCTACGCCACGCCGGTCGCCGACACAATTAGAAATTACAGAAAAATTCTATAAATAGAATTGTCCGAAAACCAATATCAATTTTACGAAACATTATAATCTAATATAGAAATATTTAATAAGAATAATTCGATCTATTCTATTATCAATGTTATTATTTTTTTCACCGGCCTCATCTTTTTTTTTTTAGATTTGGGGGGGGCCATTGCTCCCATGGCCCCCCCCTTGTATCCGCGCCTGTGTTATTCAGTAACTTAACGGGTTAATTCATTTTATTGGCACGTTAAGTTAATTTTTTCCCAAACCACATATTTAAAACTAATTCAATTTTGGAAAATTAATTAAATAAAAAAAAACCCAAAATATTAAATATATTTTAGTAAATAATAATTTATAATAATAGTAAGTTATTATATTGCATATTCACAGAAAATATTATATAATTATATTATAGACGGAAATGTTAGGGGTAACCGCCTCATTAATAGAAGAAAAATATAGGAATTTAGTCAGTACCTATCCATACACGACATATTATAACCTAACTTATAAGCTATACCTAATCATTATTAATAATATTACTTATTATATTTGTATTTATTCATAGAATCACAGCGATAACTTGGCCCGTCGGTGTAAATAATAGTATAATACCCGTTAGTAGCGCGGTAGTTCATCGTATTTACTTATTTATAAATTCTTACTATTGCATAATATTTGATATTATATTATATTCTAATAAATAATAATGAATTTGATTATCATATTATTTAGTATAGTTGTGAACCATTTACTTTAACAAATACATAACAATAATTTAATTATTTTATTTGATTTCATCATTGAGTTAAGTATAATATACAAATGTAAGTACCTACAGTAACTTATTTTATTACCAACATTTATTTAAAAATTGTAAGACATTTATTGATTTATTGAATTATTATGTTATTTGTTAGCTTTAAAAAAGGTAGGTAGGTAGGTAGGTATATTATTAATTTCATTTTAAAAAAAAAGTAACTTATTTTTAATTAAGTTAAGTTACTTTTATTTTCTAATTAACTTGTAACTTTTACAAGTTAAAAAAATAATAAAGTTAACTTTTAACTTTTAACTTTAAACTTAACTTACATTTTTCTATATTAACTTAACTTAACGAGTTAAAAAAAAATAGTTAACTTGGCCAGCCTTGTGTATAATAAATAAAAATCTTATACAGGATGGTCTTACAATGATGTTACATTATTCAATTTTTTTTTTCAACTTTTAAAGCACATATATTTTATCCATCTCCCGGTATTGATTATTTAGGTTCTGAGATATGGCTATCTGGGTATTTTAGTTTTGAATGATCAACAAGAACATATTTTGTCTGGACATCAGGTATTACATGACTTATTGAACTATAATATACGGTTTGTAGTTCAATGTTTATAATTATTATTTAAAGTTTAAATATTGAAGTAATAGAAACGAAAGAACAGCTGTAATCTGAAAACGTAAGAAATGTTTACTTTTACCTGGTTTCCGCAATAATAATTATTGTAAAATTATATTATTAGAATTGTGTGTAGGCGTATAAATATTTTTAGAAAACTATTTACATGTCTGGGAAGTTAAAACGAAAATTTCCATAAAATAATTATTGTACTTAGGTACCTAGTAAACATTAGTTAACTTACAAAAAAATCACCTTGTATAGTATTATAACTGACATAGAGCAACTGTAATAGGTACCTACCCACATTTTTCACTGCATAGAATAATTCAAAATATGAATATAATAAATCAAAAAACAATTAATTTATGAATGTACTATGGTAATTTTAAAAAAAATAACCTGAAAATAAAAAAAAAATAAAAACCTGATTTAATTATTTGGTTCGTGTATTTACTTATGAACTCATCTAAAAAATCATATTGCATTTTAAAATAAAAATTAGCATTTTACTTATTTTATATTAATGCGTTTTATGTTAAAATATGAAATAATTAAAACAATTTTTGTTTGGGTTTTTAATTTGATCATTAAATATTCAAATGTATTGCTTTATGTACATAATATTATGATCAGTTATTATATTAAATTAACATTCTAAAATATGGCTAGGTTAGACTTATTATACTGCAGTTTAGAGTTTGTATACTTAAATCAAAAGTATAAATTATTTTTATCTTGACAAATCGCTAACCAAAATATTTAATGGAATAAGTGTAAAGTATTATTATTCATTACCACTTAGCGCTTATCACAATCGCAATGACATAATAAACCTACTGCTGTAAAGGTACATAATATAACTTTATTATATGATAGGTACTTTGATATGACTTTCCAATGGCAAAAGACAATCGAGTAAAAAATGTTAAAAGGGGCAACTTCTGAAATAAAAGATATTTTTAGATTAAGTACCAAAGTGTACTACAGAATTTGGAAAAAGAGATCCTTTTAATATTAACATTGGAATGTATAATCAAATTGGTATCAACATCAGTAATTTTATAAATTTGAATAGTTACAAAAAATATAATACTTGGTACAAAATTAAATTTCTATATTGTAATTCTGTTATTTTTTATTTTAGGATTTATTGTGAATTATTTTTTTATTGTGATATCTGCATCATAATAATGGTTAAAGGATTAAGGTTCATCACATTTTTTTAAGTATGTTATAATTACTTAAAATTAATTATTTTACAGATTTTTAAAATTAATTTTTATATTACGTAGGTAGGTACATATTTTTACGATCATACACTGATACAATCAGTAATGTTTTCAGATATTTTAAAACACAATCGATTTCGAAAAGAATTCAAGTTTGTATTTTTTTTTTTGTAAATATTAAGGTTAGGTTATACCAACCTATGAAGATCGAAACTTTAGTAATTAAAACTTTAATCCTTTTACTATGACCCGAGAGGTTTATTTTATTGATTTATACTTTTGCGTTTTAAATATTAAAAATGTAAATATGTTTTTTTTAATATATGTTACGAACAATAATATAGTTACAGGTATAGTAAAATATTTTTTTGTTATTCTTGAATGCGAATGTAGTTTTAAAACTGAAATAAACGTTCAACCATTATTTTCACCCTTCAAATGACTATATAATGCCCGCGGGTTGTACCCTTAGTAAATCTCGTAGGAAGTAGATTTTTTTAGTTTTTTTTTTTTTTTTTGGTCACCCTCTTTCTTTATTTAAGAGTTACCATAAGTTTCCATTGTCCTGCAGAAAAAAACTTATTTTTCCTCGAAGCAAAGACGGAAACGAAACCCTTGTCCCTCGTTAAGTTTGAGTAGCGAAGTGGAAAAATTATTTTGACAGTCGAGACGCGCTCTAAATACATTTCCCCTCTCAACACAAGCTTTATATTATAATAGAGATACAAAACAAAAACTTTCGTTTCGAAAACGTACACAATAAGGAATAATAAAACTTAACAGTGAAAGTTTAACTTTATTTTATTAGTTTATGTATATAGAAAAAAAACAATTATAAACATTAAAATGAAAAAAATAGCCATCACATACATTTATATAAAACAATAGGTAGTTGTAAAATCTAAGGTTATATCTTAAAATTTTGATTTCGCACCAACAAATATTGGTCATATCATATGTAATAATAACACTGCAATACATTATTTTACGGACGCTAACAATTTTTTTTTTTTTATAAGCTTCCAAGCGGAGTGACACAATATTATACGAACACCTTACCTTACAAGAAAAGGTGAAAAAATAATAATTATAATAATTATAATCAAAGCACGTACTATATAATATACATAATAATATATACTATATATACGATCCAAGCCCTCTCAACTCTATACTATATATATATTATTCTTTAACAGTATAATAATTACGATGGAGACGACGATAAGAATGATAATAATAATACTATAATAATATACAATATTGTTATTAGTAAGACTATTATCGTTATACATAATATATATCATAAAAATATTATTATAATATATAGTCGCGATACAAGCTAGACTCGACGACTGTGCGTGAACAGAGCATATAATATATACATTACGCTTCTTTTACAAAAGTAGGTATCTATAACAATCATAATATATATATATATATATATATATATATGTTTGTGTGTACCTGAAACCTTTAGGCTTTGTAAGGTTTGTCACGACAGTGAGGCGCACGCGTATTGTTCACGTAATATTATATTCTAGTATTGCTAGTCCGAGAGACGACGAGAAAAAGTATTAAAATAAAATAGCATATTATAATCAACAGAGAAGTAAAAACAATTAATAAAGAAATTGTATATATATATAATATGTATGTATATATATATATTATATATATAAATAATAATTATAATATTAACACGGAAACATAATAATATAATAATATATTAATTCGAAGATATAATACGCGTATAGTCGACGATATGGTCACCGTCAGGTCACGATCACGGTGATTGGGGACTGGTCGATCGCGGTCAAGTTAGATGTCTTTATGTCATTTGTGACAGGAATGCACTTGGAGGCACCACTGACTTCCGCGTTGTGATTCAACTCCATCGCCTTCGTTATGATTTTCGTGTTGTCATCGCACAGCACTGGGTTGCCTGTAGACGTCCATTTCATTAATATATTGTGGTACAACATTATTGTTATTATATTATTATAAGAACTAAACACAACCAGTCGATTCGTTCGAAAACACCAATCGTCTCGGAAATGTGTAAGCCATTTGAAATATAGACGGTTTTAAGTTTTTAGGTATACTCTTTTAAGAGACGACGTCATGCTATCTAAACGTATTGAATTTAATATTCCTATACAGAATGTTTTTATTGAGGATCTTGATGCATAAAATATGAATTTCAAAAGGGGCCTATAATATTTTAAGCTTTGACGAGTGTGGTAGTGCACCTTTAAGGGGAACCCTGCAGCTGCATTGCTACTCCACTTCGCTCGTCTTAACTTTTAATACTATTATCGATTGCTTAACATCAGAAATATATAAACATAATATTATTGTGTGTGAAAATTATCGTTATATTCTTATCAAGATATTTAAAAAAAAAAACTTTAAATCATTTTCGAAATAATGAGTGTGAGGTTCATGACGCGCGCTTAGTTCACATGTGTCAACAAACTCGTAAAATATTTTACCGCTAATCGTCTTACCTTCCAAGTATATTCTCAGCGTGCTGTTCACTCCGTGCAATTTGCATTGGGTCATTTCAACCAACTCTTCCTGGATGGTCATTATGTTGTTAAACTCGAGATCGGCGTGGCAAAGCACGGGATATCCTTGGAATTCTTTCGACAACCCAGTTAAAAGGTTGTACGATGCTACTAACGTCTCGAGAGCCTGCAGATTAATCTACGAGACAAAAATAAAAAATCATAGTAGGCCATTTACTGGAAGATCATTGCGCCCCTAACGATACTATTGTATATATTGTTAAGGCGATTGGAATCGGTGATTTTCTGTATTTGTCTAACACACGTGGAACATAGACGTGTCTTCATTCTGACGTACCAATTGATCTAGTTAAGGGAAAGGGATAATAATGCTAAGCACAGATTTGAATTTGTCACCATAGCTACTTGAAATCAAATTCCCCAAATTTTTAATTTTATCCCCAAAAATCCTAAATAAATTCGTACTAAAAATGAAATGGAATATTAAAATTTTTGGAGTAGGCAGTTAAAATAAAAATCTGGGAAAGTCAATCTCAAGTAGACTTGACGACAAATTCAAGTCTGTTTTTTCTTATCGCTTCAGTAGATCAATCGATACGTTGAAATGAAAAAATGTCTAAATTATGTTCCACCTGTGTTAGACTAAGACAGAAAATCACCTATTCCAATCCCCTTAATCGTTATACGCGGTTTATGACGTCTGTCGAACAATTACCTGAGACGAGTCTGGGAGTATGTGCAACAGATTGTGAGATACATCTAGGATTTTTAAACTTAATCCGGTCAGATCATACGGCGATATTTCGGTGAATTTGTTATGACTGATATTCAGTTTGATAAGTGTTTTGATTCCTATCAACGACCCACCGAGCGACTCCAACTCGTTGTGGTCCAACTTCAAGTGTTCGATCCCAGTCACTGGTTCACTTATAATCTAGAGTAAAGCATGAAAACCAATATTATATTATTATAATTTATTATTAATAAATTGTACTGCACATATTACTATGCATAGTCACACGTTAACTGTGTTATAGATTTTTTATTATAATATATTACCTCAGAGTGGCCACTGAGTTTGGAAATAGTATTGTGCGACAAGTCGACCAACTTGAGTTCTTTCAACCCCTTGATTTCGGCCAACGAGAATTCGGTGAGTTTGTTGTACGAAAAATTGATCTCGGACAGTTGAGTGAGTGGCAACAGCGATTTGTTCAAGTGTTTGATGCAGTTGTTGCTCAGTTCTAACACTTCGATCATCGATGCTTCTTCGAATTCATCTGACGCCAACTGCGAACGTTATACAATTAATGATGATATTATATTATATTTATGAACTGCTTGCCCACCTACAGACGCTACAGTATATGTTTTCTGCATAGGCGAAAACCAAAAACAACTACATTGGGAGGGGAAGGGATACAATTTTAAATCCCCAAATTCACACGAAAAATAATTTATACAATTCCATAACATACAATACAGACAACTGTTTATTTTTTTTTATATATTATATAATATAGGTTAAAGGGATATATACTATAACTGTATTGAATAATCCTATATCGTGTAGGTTGGTGGGCTTAAATTATTTTTTTAAATAACAGCTGAGGGTGGTTATTGTATGGCGTATATAGGTATTAGGTACCTACGCTAGCGGTTCTTGTTTTTTGTCAAAACATTAACGATTTTTATAAGTATTTAATAAAATATTTAAAGTATCCATGGCCAATTATATTCATAAAGAGAAAAAAAGGATTTATATTATTCCAATCATCTTTTTAGTGGATATGAACTCCCCCCTTCTCAATTATGATTTCTGCCAATGGTTTTCAGTAAACTGCACACGCATACCTCTTGTATCTTGTTGCCGGTGAGCTCAAGCCAAACCAATTTTTTCGACTTGGACAGCGTTTTGTTCAGACCGGTCAACTGATTAAATGAGCAGTAAAAATACCTCAGTGCCTTGAGACAGTTGAGTTCTGGTGGCAAATGAGTTAACCTGTTCTTGGACACGTCCAAGACTATGAGTCTGTCGTTGTCGATTGGCAGTTCTCCGTCGAGATTTTTTATCCGGTTGTTAGATAAGTACAGCCATTCCAGTTCTTTTTGGTTTCTAACAAAATATTAACAGATATCATACACAACTGCGTTCAAAAAAGAAAATATATAATAAATGCATAATATGACGCGCACGTAAGCTCGAAACTTTTGTATATATTACATAAATGATAATTATTCATTATATAATATAATATAACCGTGTATACATATGTACATCATACATGAAAAGGGCTCATGAATATCATAATAACAACTAACAAAATACAGTTTTAAATTAATTGTTTTATATCGTATATAGGTACTATAGAATATGGGTTTTACTCATGTGTTAGTCATAACACGTATTTCTACTATAATATATAATATTATAATATTCAATTATAACAAACGGACTTTACCCTTGGTACGGTTGAAAAATATTATTATTGATGCGATAGAGGAACAAAACAAGCTGAACTAAATTATAATATTGGTAATGTACTAATATGTAACATTCGAGAGCTCACGGCGCAATCAGACTTTCGAATTACTGCAGCGACGTAGCTTACCTCAAATTTCCATTTAATTCCGTTAGGTTGTTGGCGGCCAATTGGACTTTTCTCAACGTCGTGGGGAACGATCCGTTCGTTATATCGGTCAAATTGTTCGTGGCCATCACGAACGTGTTCATCAACGATAGACTCTAAAAATTGTATTAAATTTTTTTAGGTTTATTCCAGAATGTTTTTTTTATTTAGGCGCTTTGAAGTTCAAATGTTTACAAAATTCACGAAAGTTTGAAAACATTTTTTGGATTTTTGAAATAAAAATAATATTTAAATATTCGTAACTTTGACAAAATGTAAACTTCAAACGCTTATTAAAAAATTTAAAAAATGGTGTCTATGTATTTTTTTATGTGTTTAAAATTCAAATAAATGTTAAAGAACAACTTATGTGGGATCTTGTATTATATTTTCAAGATATATTATTGATCTATCGTAAAAGTTAAAACGAAATTTATAGAAAAAAAATACAAAATTTCAAATGTTTTTAAAAAGCTTAAAATTGCTTTGAAAAATATTCCATTTATATCCGCGTAAAGTACATGTCATAACACATATACACTTGAATGTGAATGTCATTGAGAATATTAATTATGCAAGATTGATGATTATGATAGACGTTTCGAATAATTATTATTACAATATTTGTTTTTTTTTTACTATAATAGTGCAATATTATAGTACAATAACGAAAAATACTATTTCACATTCACAACGTTTTTATCGCGAGTCTGACGACGAACGATTGCGTTTAATCGCAGCAGGGTGAAGGATTGCAGCTAGCGTCACTTCCTGTTCGATACACGCGCTCTCCTGCAATAGATGAGCCGAGCCTGCCAGGAAAACGCGCGACTGTTGTACATAATACATTATTATTATTGTAAAAACCATAATATTATTACAATAATAAAATATAATGTACCTAATAAGTAATATCACAATAACATAAACAACTACTAGAAAAAAACATATTTTATTTTTACGTGCAACTACTCGACAATTAACCGGCGTGTGTCCTCAAAAACAGAGTCGTACACTCTATAACTCGGTTAGGTACATAAATTACTTCAGTACTAATGGCTACCATTACTGGCATTACTCAGTACCCTATATACATATTTTCGAATTCTGTTTGCGGGACATGGAATCTGAACTATTCGATCATAGATTCCTTTAACTTACAATCGTTGTTTAACTCTTGAATTTTGCGCATGCGCAACAACTTCACTTTTTCCGTGTACCCTATTTTACCATACGGTATAATATTATATTACGGGGATATACGTTTGATAGTTTGGAGATGTAATAACAAAATATTTGCTACGTACTAGGAAGTCTCCGGACGCAACGCTGTGTATGGAGTTCCTGGCCAAGTCCAACACCTCAATACTGGGCATGTGCTTGAATATCTGAGTGGGCACCGCACGGAGCCTGTTGTCCGACAAGTAAAGGATCCGTATCCTGTTCATACCGATGAAAGCCTCGTCCGGTAGCGTGCTATAGAGTGGAACAAAGTCACACGTAATATAATAATTATTAGGTAGGTATATACAGTTGGACGATGATTATAACAATGTGATAAATTAATAGTAATATCCCTGCGCCGTCGCCACCACCTGCAATGGCATAATAATAATAATGATCGTAACGAGTCAATTTATATGGGACGTCTGATGCTGAAGAGTGTTTTGAATAATTATTAACCACGCCGAGTAAAGCTCTTCGCTCAGACGAAATTCGGTTTCCGCAGTTTACGGGCACAAAATCTATACGATATTTAGGTGGGAAAAGTCGAGAGAACACTATACTATCGGCATGTCCATGACCTTCCGTAAAACAAAATATTATGCCGTTGTAAGTATATCGTAACTTGACTTTTTTATGTAGAAAATTTACACAACCTCGGGGCAATATAATATAATATTAAGCATGAGTATTATAACTATTATACGGTCTACACTCTATAATATTATTATGATAACAACAGTATACACCCATACCTAACCTTTACATTTACGCAACTCTCGCGTCTATTCGGTTTGCCGGAGCAATATTTATCTCGATAAAAATTCAATCGAACATAATATTGTAATAATTATATAAAGTTACATGTCGTGTATGACCGCATTGAAGATGTGCAGATGTTATTGTTTTTTTACGAAACAATAATAGATAATGAATTATTCAGATCGTCATAGCCAATACCCTAACGCGTCGTACATTTACCCATATACACAGTAATATCAAAATAAAATGATCATGAATTAAAAATTCAACGTAATAAACAGACAAACAGTCTATATTATATAATATTATGTAACAATAACAGTGCGACTTGCTCGTCAATAATATTCGAACGGTGACAAAAACCAAAATATGTGATAAGATTTTTATTCGTTTGAGTTTTAAGATTCATCAATGACGATGTTATTTGCAAGCCTATAATATGAATTTAATGATTTCGATTAATTATTTTATGATTTTAAGTAGCTGCGGTATGCCGGTTTCGAGTGCGAAAAATCGAAGAGATGCGTTTTTGGTTCGATAAAAAGTTCTTCGATCATATTTTAAAACCATACATTCAAAACGTATACACTATTTTAATTAATCGCAGGCATGTCTCTTTGATTTCAGACACACGGAATGGCGTGTATATACAGGGCAATTACCTAGTTTCATGGTGGAGAAAATATAGAGAACAGCTCGTCTGACATATGAACGTCTTCGAGGAAGTTTACAGTCGCTATACGAAATCTGATATACCAGCTATGTCGCAACTGGGGTCGAATTTTCGAGCAATATAATAGAATATTATAGAACAGGGGTCTCCAAACTACGGCCCGCGGGCCGGATATGGCCCTTGAACAAGTTTTAACCGGCCCGTGGCCCGCATAGGACGCATAGGTAAATATAGATAAAAAAATTATTTCAAAAATGTATTTATATTATATTATATTTATACCTATTTATTTTTATTTAAGTATATTGTAAAGTAAACAATATTTTATACAAAAATATAAAGTAAACATATTATTTATATAGGTATCTATATTATCATACAATTAAAAATGATATGTGTTAATAAACTTTTGGCCCTCTAAGAGCATTTGATTCTTTTTGTGGCCCTTGAATAAAAGAGTTTGGAGACCCCTGTTATAGAATATCAAACGATGAGCTTCTGGAAATAGGACTAGAGAGGTTTGTGAAATAATATTATAAAATATAAGCAATAATTATAAAGAGTCCATAGCATCTATTACTGTGGTGTTTTCAGCCGTTATTAATTATTGTTTCCCAATAAATATTTGACATGGTTTTGAAAAATTATAATTATTACCACGCGTAGAGGAAACCCAAAATTATCTTTATAATTTATAATGTTTTTGTTTTACCTTAACTCTACGTTTTTGATTTTATGAACAAACGAAAAGTCTAGTTTATTGAATGAAAGTCAAACTACAGATCTCCATCAAGTATGCTATAGTTTTATTGGCTGAACTCGAGCAAATAATCACATTTTCAGATTAAAAAAAATCCTAATTTTCGTCATTCATCTACATCCTCTACTTATCTCTACACATTTACACTAACTAGGATAAAAATCTTAAACACTTCCATCCGCGTAAATAGGTACTTTACACGGTGTCATGCTATTTTCAAAGTGTGTATTGTTTTAGACAATTTTGGATTTATCTTTGGTTCTTCCTTTTAAAGAGGTGTATTAATACGATAATATATCAAACAATTTCAGAAAAAAAATTTAAAAGTTTGAAAATAAATAAATTTTTATAGGTAATAAAATATTGTAGGTATAATAAACTATTTTTATCGATGGTCTATAAAACGGTCGACATTTGTATTACACAAATACCAAATTTTAAAATGCATGTATTTAATATTACCTGCAGAAGTTTTAAGATTTTTTAAAACTTTGTAACTACCTATGTAGTGTTTGAATTTGCATTTTTTATTGGAACTGATTTGAATATATAATTACTGATCTACTAATATTGTATGTAATTAAAATGGACTTATGACAAGTGAAAATTGTTTATCTTTTGAGTTATTAACAATGTTTTAAGTTTTGATGGGCATAATACAAATTGTTAATTCCTAGTTAACTACTATTTACTTTATTCCTTATATTATACAACGACAAGATGTATAGTATAATAATCATCTTCAAATGTTTGTGCACAGAAATCAGAAAAAGCCCTAAGTATCTACATAATATTATATACCCAGAAGTAAAATAACGTGTTCGACGATAATGGCTGTCTTAAATATTGTTAAAAACGACACCGAAAATGGCTAACACGTTACAACACCGGAAATACGAGAGTGTTTGGCGTGTTTGGAGGATTCGACTCGATCTCGTTTAACTATTTCAGTCGAATCCTCCAGTCCGGATGGCAAGCAGCAACAGCAGAGCGTGTCAAATTCAAATCAGGCCGAATTAAGACATTTTAAGCCTCTGGGCAAGTATTTTTCCAACGATTGATTACCGTTCGGCATGTATACACAATTATACTGCTAATAGTAATTGCGAAACTGCTAATAAAATATTCCTATTATTATATAGTAAAAATTTTGTTAAAATGTATTATTTAACCTGCAATTAGTTTTTTAGTTCATCCCTGAGATTTATAATATCATAAAATATATAGGTACTGTACAATTTTACGAGTGCGAGGGCAGGCATGACCCATCCCACCCATTAATCCGCTTCTGCGTACAACGAGGCTTTAAATAACATGTATCTATACCAAGCAAGGGGACATAAACGAGATAAAAAGTTAAAATTAAGTTAATTTTTCTTTTTAACTTAACTTTTTAAAATAGAAGATTCATAACTTAATTGTTAACTTAACTTTTGTTGAAATGAACTTAATAAATAACGAGTTACTTTTAATCAAATCCAAGTTACGTTAATTTATAAATAGTGAAATAATAAATATAATTAATATTACTATTGATGATACATATTGCATAAACATTTACTTTTTATTATTTCAAACCATAGTACTGGCTATTTATTTATTTATTTAAAAAAAATAATGACTTAAGTTAAGTTAGTAAGTTTCCATATAACTTTTAACTTAACTGAGTTAGAAACAAATTAGGATACCTAACTATTAACTTTAAACTTTTTAATATGTTTTCTATCAACTTATCTTAACTCAATTAACAATTATCATTAACTTGGCCAGGCTCGACCTATATAGGTACTATATCATAATTATATACGCATATTGTACTGCACAATAATTACCTGAGGTTGTTTTTGGTGAGCTTGAGGTCGACTATCGGGAAGCCCAGCTCGTTGAACCGCCTCGTGTCCAGGTCGTGGAGTTCCGAGTACTCGATGTTGAGCACGTAGTCGAACACCGCGTCGAACTTGTTCTGGAGCGCGCCGATGACGCTCTCGAACGACACCATCTTCTGGCAGATGACCTGGATCTTGGGCCGGACCATGCCGGTGAAGTAGCTGCATGTGCACGGCGATATGCTCCGGCGCACCGAACAGTGGAGCGGCGTGTCCTCCAGTATGTACCCGACACTACTGCTGCTCATGGCGATCATGCCCGCGGCCGCCACGATGAACATGTGCAACCAGTTCATGATCGCGGTGTTTCGGTGCACGCTTGTGGGTTCGTACCCGGTTCCGGTGCGGGGTTCCACCCGGACGACGACCGCTCTAGTCCCGTCGGACGAATGCGAAATATATATCGATCGCCGTCGACTAGATTATTTCGAGTTTCAGACGCGTAGTGCGACGGACTGGGCTGCAGCTACGATAATTATTATTACACCGCTCCCTGCATCCCTGCAACAACGACCGTGGCCGCGCGACTGTTAATAATAATTCGACAATATTATATTATATGTGTGCGCGTGTGGAAATGGTAGGAGTGTGCGGCGATCGAGTAGAGAATTTTTTTTCGATTTAAATTCGTACTGATCGATTTGACACTCGGCAGACGTTCGGGGAGGGTAGGAAGGGTGGGGGTCAAATAATACGGAATATTATTACGATATATAGGTGTAATACTGCACACACGGGACGCGGGCGTCGCAAACTCGCTCGTTACGCGCACGGCAACTATACTACGGCCGTGTGCAGCGTACAATATTCCAATCGACAATCATCGTGTCCGATGTAGCGCGCTCGTTTATAGTACCTACACACTAACGTGGGTGTGTGCATGTGCGTGTGTGTGCTTGTGTGTGTGTGTCCGAGTGAGCGCGAGGTGGGATATGGTGGCCCCCTCCACTATCAATTTTTTTTCTGTTCGCGTTAACTTTGAATCGCGGCTTTTGGCACCGAAGTGGACATATTTTTATTAAAGGATTTTTTTTTTTTTTGAAACTCTCTCGGTAATAATTTCAATAAGTATTATATAATATTTAATTTACACACCGAAAAAAAAAACTATATTTTTCTCATTTATAGGTTAGGTACACGTTCAAAAAACGAATTTAGTGTTTTTTTTTTTAGGTCCCTTATAGTATTCCGTGGTATAACTTGATATGACGTGTATAATATAATATCAATATGTACTAGGTAGTATTTTGAACGATGCGCAGTAATTAATAAATAATAATTATACACACAATATAATATGCATCTTATTTATTGCGTATTATACATTTATACTATTATATTATGTAAATGAAAATCTTCGATAGACGACGATGGTCGCCAATCCGACTCGATTGAACCGAAATATTTTTTCGTTAATATTTCAAAAAATGCATACTACCTATTACCATAATAATCTATATTATAATAATATTCTCACCCGACCCAACTCTACCGTAACCCTCGAAACCCACCGTATTATTATTATACAATTACGCCATTGCGGCCTCGTCTAAACGATAGTGACGTAAACCGGTGTCTTATACACAGGTGTTTAAATGCTCTTATGTTACCATACGGTAGATAATGATTGTTCTTTTATATTATATTATGACGTACTTACTAAGATGTAATCGTTATTTGACGAAATAACCATTCGGCTCTTCCGTTTTCCAATCAGATTTAAAGCCCCTAATTTCCATATACAGACCCGTTGACTACAAATAATATTACCTATGATAGAGTCCAGGGTCCAGATTTTAATTTTTTACAGGTGTTTTGTGCTCCAGAAGTTCGGACCGGAGCTATAGGCTATAGAGTATAGACTATACAGCTGCCGATCCGAATCTCATCATCGCAGCTAAACACTGTGCTCGATATTCAATTACATCGCGAAATTTTGCTACACTTTATTATAATGTTATGATAATTATATTATTCATTAACGCATCAACACAATACATGTATAATACACAATACATAATACATGTTCATAGTTTTACATGTGAGAAAAAAATTACCCTGTACATAATAATATTAATGTATGTGGGTTTTCGCCGTAACGATTTATATATTATTTTTTTTACCCCGTCGATAACACGCACACGCGGTGCGCGTTTGTCATATTATTATTATTATACGAAAATGTTATTATCTTATTATTATTTTTTATTATTTTTTTTTTTTTGGCCGTTCCCAAGAAATTCGAGTAAATGTTATCGATTCATCAGCTACCAGCTATAATATTATAATAATAACATAATACAATAATATAATGCGATTGCGTCGTTCTCTTGGTCCAGACGTCAAAGCGGTGTGATAAAACGCCCATCATAACGCGCAGATATAATTTACTTTTTACGATTCTACAGTCATGCAGAATAATACAATAAAATATAATCAAAATAACTTCGATTTCGGACAATAGATTCGATTGTTCCCTTCGCTAAATACGATATTATTTAAATCGATTAAAATGCCTATGCATGCCCACGCTATGAAAATTGTCGATATGCACAGATAAACGATCTATTATAATATATCGTACAAAGTTCACAGACGAAAATCGATAACGGCTTGCAAACGGTAGCTTATTCATATTATCACATAGGTAATATTATATTGTACACAGCCATAGAACAGGTATGATATTCAATATTATAAAGTAACATAAAAAAATTGTCTATTTTGAGTTACACACGGTTTGTTACGATAACAGTTGCTTTCTTGACAACTCACGTAATTACGTATAATTTTATCTAATATTATGCTAGGTTCAAACCAAAATTGTAATATTAGATGTTTTATTTTTTTTTTTTTATTATTATTTAATATAATATTTACAATCTATAAGAATTAAGAACTAATAGTAGCATAGTAAGTAAATTATATGAATAATGAATATAACGACAAAATATAAATATAAATAAACAGGAAGACATGAGAGAGGTTGGAGATTGGTAGCACCACTGAAGTAAAGTATTAGATGTTAAAATATATACTATTTTTGTGCTATGACTTATGAGCAATGGCCAATGAGCATATAATATATTTAACATCGTAAATATTGTATATTTGTAGACGGTTTCGTTCCTGGCTATTTTACACCAGAGATTTGAACGATCATTTAATTTATTGACGAGTAATAATAATTATTGCGTTACCGAAAAATGCCATCGTACAATTTAAATAGTTCTGATACACAATTAACCTAACCTCATGACGTTAATATTTTATTGACCCCAATCATATCACCAATAGGCAATAACGCTCTACGCCAAAACACTACATGACTATCGCATCTAGTCGTATACGGTATACATAATATTATTATATAGTTATATTGTGCAAAGGCCGCCAATTTACCGTTACAAAATAATATAATATAATATGATAATATGTCTCACGAACGACAGTAACGACGAGGGTGTCGATCCGATCAAAGGCGACTGTCAATCATATATTCGATTTTTTGTACATAATTTAGTAAAACGCTTTTCAAATGCAACCAGGAAACTGTGAAGTTAAACTTTCCTTATCTGTTATTTATTTCTATATTTTTTTTGGTTTTTGGGCTACTCAGTACTCAGTACAGTCGGATTTATGGAATAGTTTTAATGTATTACTCGTGTGATGAATATAAGTAGGTAATCAACATGAGTAATTTCAAGACAACCTATTTGTAGATAAATGTATTATAAATAATAATAAACATTAGTAAAAAAATAATTATAATATACATATTAATCATATTATAATTATATTATTCATATTATGTATACCTATAGCTCATAGATACAGCCATAAGCAACGATATAGTATATATAGTAGTAGCTGGTAAGTATTATGGTGGAATCAGACCAAGTGTAGGTAAGTAAGTAACTTAACCTTAACATTAACGGTTTAATTATGAAATTGGTATTATATCATTGATAAAAATGGTCAATATTATGTTTTACGATTAATTTTTAAACAATAAAAATCCTCGTACAATCAAGTTTAGTTCCCGATAGAGTTATATAAATATTCTTATTCAGTATGTATTTGCATCTGTCATTACTTATTAATTCAGTGTTGGGAATTATCTAGATAAAAATAATTAAATCATCTAATTATCTCATCTGGATAAATGTAATGGTTATCTGTGGTAATTTATCTAGATAAATAATATAATAATAAGAATATTTTTAAATACTGAAATAGCCAATAATTTAAGAGAACCTAGTAGTGATTCCAATATTATTATAGTAAAAAAAAGAAATGCTTACTGAAATATTATCAGTTTTATTTTTATTCAAGTTGTATTAAAAATTAAAATTGTATATTATTTTAGTTGAGAAATGACATTAAGGATTTATTAATTAATAAATATTCCCTAATTAGTAATTACTAATAAATTACATTATTTATAATATAATTTAAAAACAAATTATCTATTTTTTATCTAGATAAATGTATGAGTATTTTTATCTTTATCTAGATAAAAAAAAATGATGTTATATTTTATCTTATCTAGATAAATTTTGAATGAATTATCTGTTACCTTATCCAGAAGATTTTTTGGTTATCTTTTCCAAACACTGTTTGTTATAATACAATACCAAATGATGAGTTGAAGTCAAAAATATCTTGTATTAGCAACATTAATATTTTGTAGTTGTATATAATAACAATTAAAGAACCATAAATTGTAGCTTAGGTTTTTTCATTGGTATTGATAATTTTAATAATAACTCTGCAGCACTATACCGGCTTTCGATTTTTAAACTGCAGCCATCTATAATTTTAATTTCTTAATATGAAGTAAAAATATTCAGGCATTTTGATAATAACTTTAGTAGACTGTAAAAGACAACAAATTTACAGCATACTTACCGTTACTTCACTCGCTATAGGTACCTCCTATACTCATATCTGAACGTCTAAACTTTTAAACCCTTTTTAAAATAACAATAAAAAATAATGGTATTATAACTGTCAATTGATGTAATAAAAAAAAAGCTTAGAACATTATTCTGTTTCAGTCTGCAATAGTGAGTTCACATTAACCAACAAGTAATGTTGGGTAAGTTACTTTTAAAAGGTAATTAAGTTACTTTACTCGTTACTCAAATAAAACTGTAATGAAATTACTTTACTTTTCAAATAGAAAAGTAACTCATTACTTTCTCGTTACAAAAATAAAAAAAAATTTTAATTTCTTGGCAATTATCTTCTGCAGGCAAATTGAACAATCAAATTCTTTATAAAACCTGTATAC